AGCAGTAACCAGCAGTAACCAGCAGTAACCAGCAGTAACCAGCAGTAACCAGCAGTAACTAGCAGTAACCCGCAGTAAGTAGCAGTAACCAGCAATAACTAGCAGTAATTATCAGTAACTAGCAGTAACCAGCAGTAAGTAGCAGTAACCAGCAATAACTAGCAGTAACTAGCAGTAACTATCAGTAACTATCAGTAATTATCAGTAACTAGCAGTAAGTAGCAGTAAACAGCAGTAAGTAGCAGTAACCAGCAGTAACTAGCAGTAACCAGCAGTAAGTAGCAGTAACCAGCAATAACTAGCAGTAATTATCAGTAACTAGCAGTAACTAGCAGTAAGTAGCAGTAACTAGCAGTAAGTAGCAGTAAACAGCAGTAAGTAGCAGTAACCAGCAGTAACTATCAGTAACTAGCAGTAACCAGCAGTAAGTAGCAGTAACCAGCAGTAACTATCAGTAACTAGCAGTAACCAGCAGTAAGTAGCAGTAACCAGCAGTAAGTAGCAGTAACTAGCAGTAACCAGCAGTAACTAGCAGTAACTAGCAGTAACTATCAGTAATTATCAGTAACTAGCAGTAAGTAGCAGTAAACAGCAGTAAGTAGCAGTAACCAGCAGTAACTAGCAGTAACCAGCAGTAAGTAGCAGTAACCAGCAATAACTAGCAGTAACCAGCAGTAACTAGCAGTAACTATCAGTAAGTATCAGTAACTATCAGTAACTAGCAGTAACTAGCAGTAACTAGCAGTAACCAGCAGTAAGTAGCAGTAACTATCAGTAATTATCAGTAACTAGCAGTAACCAGCAGTAACAGTAACCAGCAGTAACTAGCAGTAACCAGCAGTAACTAGCAGTAACTATCAGTAATTATCAGTAACCAGCAGTAACTATCATTAACTAGCAGTAACCAGCAGTAAGTAACAGTAACCAGCAGTAACTAGCAGTAACCAGCAGTAACTAGCAGTAACTATCAGTAATTATCAGTAACCAGCAGTAACTATCATTAACTAGCAGTAACCAGCAGTAACCAGCAGTAAGTAGCAGTAACTATCAGTAACCAGCAGTAACCAGCAATAACTAGCAGTAACTATCAGTAACTAGCATTAACTATCAGTAACCAGCAGTAACCAGCAGTAACTATCAGTAACTATCAGTAACTAGCAGTAACCAGCAGTAACTAGCAGTAACCAGCAGTAACCAGCAGTAAGTAGCAGTAACTATCAGTAACCAGCAGTAACCAGCAATAACTAGCAGTAACTATCAGTAACTAGCATTAACTATCAGTAACCAGCAGTAACCAGCAGTAACTATCAGTAACTATCAGTAACTAGCAGTAACCAGCAGTAACTAGCGGTAACTAGCAGTAACTATCAGTAACTATCAGTAATTATCAGTAACTAGCAGTAAGTAGCAGTAAACAGCAGTAAGTAGCAGTAACCAGCAGTAACTATCAGTAACTAGCAGTAACCAGCAGTAAGTAGCAGTAACCAGCAGTAACTATCAGTAACTAGCAGTAACCAGCAGTAAGTAGCAGTAAACAGCAGTAAGTAGCAGTAACCAGCAGTAACTATCAGTAACTAGCAGTAACCAGCAGTAAGTAGCAGTAACCAGCAGTAAGTAGCAGTAACCAGCAGTAACTAGCAGTAACTAGCAGTAACCAGCAGTAACTAGCAG